TGTTTTTTGAGGGGCAGAGCAGAGAATTTTGGATTTCAACAAGCCAGCAGCACAAGGGGCATTTTATTTTCAAGTATGCAATGTCCCTTTTGCTGATGTGCTGATTTAAAAATAAAAGGAAGTTTTTTAACTTTGGGTTTAAATTTATATTATTTGATGACTCCTCTTTGAAATTATACAATCCCATCTATATAAAAATGTTCATAATGTCATGAACATGTGGTATACTGTATTGAGTGTGAGGTTCTCCTGTCATCGGTGAAGACAGTTGTAATGCCATTCATTTGGGTTTACTATGTTAGTATCCTTTTTTTGGATTTGGTGAATATTGCTTTTTGTTCATTGTACTTCACTGTTGGGCCTTGAGTGAAACATTGAAAACATTGAGAAAACTGCAACAGTAGGGGATTGTCCTTAAAAGGGGCAAACCATTCTTTTCCATAGTGTGTCTGCTATGAATCATATTGATTGTTTACTGTTTTAGCTCTTGCATTCCTGCCATTTGAGAGTGCTGCTAATGATATTTATTGAGCTGTCGGTACAAATTCCTGACATTTTGCTCATTACATAACTTAAAACTTCATAAACAGCAGATGACCTTAACATCTATAAAGCAAATCTGAATCCTCAGTCTATTTTCTAAGACCACCTTGTCACCACTCATGTCTAGGGAAATATAGATCTTTCAGTATATCTAAAGCCAAAACTTTTTTAATTTGTTTTTTAGTAGAGAAGTGTTAGAACACTTTTCAGGTTTTTATTGTGGTTTGTTTGTCTTGAGAACGATATAGAAAAAGAGTACTTTTCGGTGGGCCTTAAGCAAGCCATAGATGGTTCTTTTAGGTTTCCTGCCACCATGGGTGGCAGGAGTGAAAATCGCTGGATTCCCCCATCAGCACTGAATATTGGATTACCCCATCAGCACTAACCACTGGATTTCCCCATCAACGTGGGAATCCCTCCAGCAGAGCTACTGTGTTTTCCTGTTGAGGAGCCTTCCCTATAGCCGTTGGCAGTAATCACATGCAAAAAATCTGACCGTCTGGTTGTACTGAAGTCGATCAATGGATCGACCTCAGTGCAATCAGCCTGCCCATATGGGGATCGATCTTTGTCCAGTCCCTGCTGAACTGACCAAGATTCAGTATATCTATGTCTGCCTTTATGTGAGGGAAATCTCTTTTAGAAATCTGGTAATTAAGTGGCATCTGATTACATTTTCTGCCATTAAAACAGCACCTTGTAAAGCAAACAGTAGCAGTTACAATAGCATCTGAAGTATATTGCATCTTACCAGTCATTAGATGTGCTTCCTGCATTTGTTTTCTTTTACATGGTTTTAACTTTTATTTTCTTTTGGTAATGCTGCATATAACACACTTCCTTGTCTCTACACTCACTTTTCATGGTAGCTACAAAAAGAGCCATGGTTATACATAGACTGGACTTGAAATGTTTTTCTTTATTCATCTCCATTACATGATGGATTGATAGGGCTAGTAGTTTACAAAAGAGTTAACATTGTTTAATCTGTCTTTACCGTGGAGTAACAAGGACGCCACATTTTTATGATCGAACAGATTTTTTTCTGTACTTATTAAAAATGGGATTGGCCCGAAAAAGGAAACCAATGCATCCATCATATCTATAGACTGGTAAGCTGCATTGTTTTTATTGTTGGGTTTAGATGCACTTTTTTTTTTTGCTGACCTTTCCGGTAAAAAGAAAAATGTGTGCACTATACATAGCTGAATTTTTGAACTGGTAACAAAATAACTGTCACTTTGAATGTGCCCCTAGAAAATAAACATCAAATAAAAAATCTTTTTAGTTGATGTCATTGCCTTTGGTCTTTAGTTAAAAGTAAAATTCATTTTATGTGTTAAAGCTGAACAATACTCTGTTCCGCTTCATCGGTGTGCCATCCTTGAGCTCCCCAACATTCTTGGGCGGCTGGTTTCCAGGTCTCGATTGCCAGCAACTGTCATCAGTCAGAGTCAGTATTGACGAATTTGTGCAGTGAGCTGCATGTACGCAGCTCCTTGTACAAGGGTGGACAGGCAGGTAAGTAGATTTAATGCAGAAGAGACAAAGCATGTATCTTTGGCATTAAAAATCCTGCCTGTCCACCTATTTTATTACTTTAGTCTAAAGTTCCACTTTAAGGCAACATTGACTTAACATTTTCTTGTGTTTGATAATGCCACAGCCTGCTTTTTATTGCAGTATGAATGTTTTAACATGGTTACTCTTCCTTTTGTAGGCTCCCCTTGGCAGTTTGTATTTAATGTAAAGTTCTACCCCCCGGATCCTTCTCAGCTAACTGAAGACATTACAAGGTATTGGTTTCTTTTATACCCAAGAAAATAGGCATTCGTTTTGATTTCTGTTTAGTTTTTTTTTTTTGTTAAGTACAACTCTAGAGAAACTGCTCTATAAACTGATGAAAACATTTTTTTTTTTAGATGTCAAAGGATTGGTAATCTTGGTGGTCTACTCTTGTGATGCACACATCTCTGCTTTGCATGTGATCTCTGATATTTCATGGATTATCAATTTTGTTTACTGCGACAGCTATACAGTTTTCTAGGTCAACTCTTTGCTCATTGGACGAAAGCAGTGATATGATTCACTGTCCTATGAGGAGGCTGTAACACAGCAATCTGAATTGCTGAACTAAGAAGATTGAGATTCAGTTTCCAAATTAGGAACTTCATGTGTTTCCTGGCTGGCTGGGCAGTGTGGAAAATGTATAGAAACTGGCTGTACAGAATTACAAATATTTTGGTGTGTAAAAACTCTGTATTATTGTAAGACAGAGGTTTTACAGAGCATTAATCCATGGCAGTTTGTGCATTAAAAAAAAGGAAGCACAAATAAAATTGCACAAGCAGGCAGCACATCACACTGAACATGCAGTGCATTGTGGTATGTAGTGTAAAAGATAATGGCCGAATGTTTGTACATTTTTGGACCATTGCTGTGCAGTCACAGCCCATTAAAAATAACCTAACACAATGCATTGTAACATGCAAAATACCACAAGGACCTGCAATGATCTAAAGGGGCCCTAAGCATACTGTATATGTTGCAACTGTGGTTTTAGCTGTTTGCCTAGAGTTGCACTTTCAAAAACACTTAGATGTATTATATCGTAGACGTTCCATATCTAATAATAATCTGTTTTCTGTGTTTGCTTGGATTGTGTGGGTATTTTTTCAAATCCAATATAAAACATAAAAAATTGGTTTAGCAGCATGAAATGCACAATAATTTCAATGTGTGGACTTACGTCTGTGTTGCTATAAGGTGTTGGAAAGAAGACTTTTTCTTTCTTATGCCCTCAATATTGTACAATCTGCTCTATACTAAAATATTATTCTAATGTAATCTTTTGAAACCACATCCTGCGCAGAACATGATTCTCTACAACCTGCTGTCATTTGTTTAACAAGATTAAGACTAATATGCATTCAATGCACTTAAAGTATATGTGAACCCTTACTTGTAAAGCAACCCATGCAGTTTAAAATAGAAATGCAAGGCAAAACATTTGTTTAAATAAAAAAACATTATAAATGATCTGATCATTGAAGGACAGGCAGTCTGTTCTCCAAGCACAGCCAGAAAACTGACTGATGAGATGGCTATGCGCTCATGCCTAGTGCAGTCAGTTTGAAATATGAAGCAGGGTGACTGGCAGGAACACCAGGATTTTCACAGAATGGAAGAAATACAAAGAGAACATGACATTTTTTTTTAACACAAGTACATTGTACAACAGACACATATCAGGAATCTGAAATGTTGGGGTAACATACATTTTTAAAAAGTATAACCACAGCCAAACCGTTAATGCACAATTAAAACACATATAGTGTATGCTGACTTTACCTGTCAAAGGATTTGTAAATTTGTACAGCCAATCTTTTGCCCAAGCTGCATTGCTAAACAATTGAAAAACACAGTTCCTAACTAAGCAATTAATCTTCCTTGATTTTGTGGAATCAGCATGGAGTATGGCGCTGACCCAGAAAGAAATGTATCTGCCCTAGTAATGACCCAGTTATACTTAAAGCGGAATGTTACCTGAAAAGGAAGAACCATTCCTCCTCCTCACTCATTATTTCAGATTTGTTTTTTGTTTTCTTGGAGCCAGTACCTATTTCTGACTGGTACTGGATGTTTTGCCACCGCCTCCCCAAGAACCTCCTGGGACATGTGTTAAGGCCCAGGATATTGTAGAACCAGTCTAAATGTGCAGCATGTCATGGTCAGCTTCCTTCATCGAAGATGGCAAAGACTGGCAAAGAAAAAGCCTGGGTGATGGCAGCGCTGTATCCCTGAGCTGGGTAAGTATATTTATTTTAAAAGTCAGCAGCTACAGTATTTGTAGCTGCCAACTTTTAATTTTTAGAGAAATGAGCCAAGTTCCTCTTTAAACAAAAAGTTATCAGAGTGACTTTTCTGAACAGCAAGGTATATTTAATGCAAGAATGGCTATCCAAATGTGCATTTATTTTGCCAGATAAAACTGTAAGGCCTCATTCGCTTGTGTATACCTATCTGTACACTCGTGCGAAGGGCTGTTTATGCCCACGAGCAGGAAGTCCCACTCATGTCTGTTGGGATGCAGTCTATGTAATGACAGTTACGCAGTACAAGTGGCCAGTCATTGAGGAGTTAATTGTGATCCTCCTGCTTGGCTTTCTCCCTGGCAACTGTTGGGTTAAATCTGTGTGAGGCTGTTCGGGTTTACTACAACTTTAACATTCCAACCTTCTGGCTTTAAGAAACACTTAAAAAAAAAAAATAAAACTTTTGTCAATTGCAACTGTTTTTGCAGAGGAAAAAAAATATGGAATCACTCAATTCTGAGGAAAATATTTTGAAATCGCCATGTACTTTGCAGTTTAAAAACAGACATCTGCGAATTAGTCTGCAGTTAGAGTGCTTGCACACCTTGGTGAGCTGTTGCACCAAGCTGATAGACATGAATCATGGCTCCAACACGAGAGATGTCAGTTGAAACAAAGGAGAGGATTATAAAACTTCTTCAAGAAGGTAAATCATCATGGAATGTTGCAAAAGATGTTGGTTGTTCCCAGTCAGCTGTGTCTAAAATCTGGAACAAGTACAAATCAAATGGGAAGGTTGTAAAAGGAAAGCATACTGATAGACCAAGGAAGACATCAAAGCGTTAAGATAGAAAACTAGGATAGAAAACTTTAAAGCAAATATGTCTTGAAAACAGAAAATGCACAACAAACAAATGAACAAATGGGCAGAAACTGGGGGCAGAAAATGTCTGTGACTGAACTGTAAGACATCGCCTAAAGGAAATGGAATTTACATACAGAAAAGCCAAATGTAAACCAGTTAACACCTAAACAAAAAAAAACAAGGTCACAGTGGGCTAAAGAAAAGCAATTATGGACTGTGGATGACTGGATGAAAGTGATATTTATTGATGAATCACAAATCTGCATTGGGCAGGGTGGTGATGCTGGAACATTTTGTTTGGTGCCGTACCAATGAAATCTATAAAAATGACTGCTTGAAGAAAACATTCAATTTTCCACAATCAATGATGGTATAGGCGTTGCTTGTCAGGGGGAGATGACAGTAATTAAATCTTCAATAAATGCACAAGATTATACTGAGATTTTGGAAACTTTTCTTATTCCATCAATTGAAAGGATGTTCGATGATGACATTTTTCAGGATGATAATGCATCTTGTCATAGGGCAAAAGCTGTGAAAACTTTCCTTCAAGAAAGACATAAAATGTCAATGGCATGGCCTGCAAATAGTCTGAACCTCAATCCAATTGAAAATCTATGGTGGAAATTAAAGAAAATGTTCCATGACAAAGCTCCAACCTGCAAAGCTGATCTGGCAGCTGCAATAGGAGAAAGTTGGAGCCGGATTGATGAAGAATACTGTTTGTCAATGGTCAAATCCATGCCTCAGAGAACTCAAGCTGCTATAAAAGCCAGAGGTGGTGCAACAAAGAACTAGTGGTGTACTGTAGTGTTGTTGTTTTTTTTTTTTTTTTTTTTTTTTTTCTGCATGATTCCATAATATTTTTCTCAGAATTGAGTAGTTCCATATTTTTTTTCCTTTGCTTCATCTGCAAAAACAGTTGCAACTGACTACAGTTTTCTTTCTTTTTTTCTTTTTGTGTTTCTTAAAGCTGGAAGATTGGAATGTTGAATGAAAATAGTTTTGAGGCTTGTCTGTGATTTAGTTTTTTTTTTTTTTCTACACATTTAAACAATTGAATCAACATTTTCCAAGAGTGGTGATTCCATACTTTTTGCCAGGCGTTGTAGAAGAAATGTTAAGACTAAATCTAAATTTGATACTTCCAAATTAGTTTGAACCATTTTCATTGGAAAAATAATATACAGTGTCTAGCTCCCCTGTACTGTTCCTTCACAGCGTTGCTTTGCTACCTGTGCATTAAACATTTTCTAAAGTTCCTAATCAGTTTGTTAATTTTTCAACAGATATTACCTGTGCCTTCAGCTGCGTCAGGACATTGCTTCTGGACGTCTGCCATGTTCATTTGTGACACATGCTCTTCTTGGCTCACTCACGCTTCAGGCTGAGGTGGGAGACTATGATGCAGAGGAGCATGGCGCTGACTATATCAGTGACTTTCAGTTTGCACCCAATCAGACAAAAGAACTGGAAGACAAAGTTGTGGAACTGCATAAAACACACAGGTATGTTCATACCCAGTAAGATGTGCAATTACAATGTACAGTACTTCACATACAAATTGTCTGCAGTTCCCCCAAGCAGTCAAATATGAATGTTTTTTTTTTTTTTTTTTTTTCTTGTGGAGCAAATATAATATACATACAGTGTATAAAAATGGCAGTTTTACTATGCTGATTTACTGATTTGATTCTAATCTAAAACTAAGAATGACATATCATGCCAATTTAACTCTTTTTCCAAATATTACATATAACAAGCTACTTAATATTAAGGTCCTAAATAAGAAAAGGCTAATTTGTTGCCTCTAAAATCACTTAATTGTTGCTATACATGTCCCAAACTGTATGTTCATATTTTTTTTTTTTAATTTTAAAGAAGGAACCACTCTAGTTTTAAAGAAATGCTGACAGCAGAAACGAGCTTCACACTTTTGCTCCTTAAAAAACACTAAAAATGTTTCTAACCACTTGCAGACCAGCGATGTACCTGTTTTTTGTTCGGTTTTTTTTTTTGGCGGTTGGCTTTCTTCTAAGTTGCTAAGTAGTCACTGGATTGCGTTTACAAGCAGGAGGGGTTGTTAAACCCCCCCCCCCCCCCCAAACCTGAAAGCTAATTGGTTTCTATGCTGGGCCGCACCAGATTTTGCACCATGCAGTTTTAGTAAATAGCCCCCAAAGTGTTAGAAAAGAAAGTGTGTAAGATATAGTGTACATGGCTGAAAAGGAAGGCATTTGACTAAATCCTGGTGTTCACCATTCAGTCTGTACTTTAAGCAGACATTAACATTCTAAAACAGGGGTGTCAAACTCAATTTCATCCCAGGCTGTGCATCAGCATTATGGTTGTCCACAAAGGGCCAGTTGTATCTGTAAGACTAACTGTACAGAGCACCCCATCCCTCCCTATACAACAGATGTCAAGATCCCCCCCCACCATCAGAAGTCAAGAGTCTCCCACCGTTCCTTACATCACAGTGCACCCCCCCTTTACCTTGTGTTTCTGCTAGGAAGGAATTGGGGGCAGAGCTGGAAAGCAGGAAGTACAGGGCCTGGAGGAGGTCTAGAGTCAGCTGCCAGAGTCTGCTGAATGCTGAGACCAGGGGAGGCAGAGACAAGGAGTTGCTGTGGCTGCACAGAAAAGAGCAGGATCTGTAGAAGGAGTTCTGTCCTCCTCTCTGCTGCCCACTGCTGAGAGGGGGAAGGGCAGAAAGGAGCCTCTCTGTGGCTGCTCAAAGAAGCACAGGATCTGGCTGAGGAGTTCTGTTGTCCTCTCTGCTGGCAATACTGAAACAAGGTAAGGGCAGAGACTAGGGGGTGCCACAGCTGCAGCGAGGTGCAATGGTTGCATGAAATGGTCTGGTGTGCCAGATTTGGCCCATGGGTCTTGTGTTTAACACATGTTCTAGAACAGTGTTTCTCAACCTTTTTTCAGTCAAGGCACCCTTTAAAATTATGGATAATCTCAAGGCACCCTTTAAAATTCTGCACAATCTCGAGGCACCCCATTTTAAAATGTAAAAAACTATTCCACACATCCACACACACGCATTGTACACCCAACATTAGAGGTGATATATTCTTCCAAAGCAAATATACCTTTGAACACTGATACTGACTATTGTTCCAAGGTGTCTCTCAGTTTCTGTCCCTCACTCTCCTAATATGACCCCAGTGCTGACAGGGAGGGGCAGGGGATGATGTGCATGCACCTGACATCCTCCTTATCAACTGATGATGTCATTGGTTGTTAGGATGCCGGCGGCTAGAAGGTCATAGAAGTGCACAATGAAAACCTGTGGCTTTGTGTACTAAAAGGCAGGATTGATCCACCTGCTGGATGGTATTCAATTTTTAGGCATTTTGCCAAGGTACCCCTGAAGAAGCCTGAAGGCACCTTGGTTGAAAAAGGCTGTTATATAATATTGAAACATCTTGACAGAACAGTTTTTACACCATATGGTTTACCTTGTCCTCTAAAATGACCTCCTACATAATAAATCCCACAAGATGGCTGCCTGTGACATTTTTTAATCTCCCTCTATGCTAACAGTTGGCATTCGTTGTTTTTCTATAAAATGTAAACTTATCTGGATGTAGGAAACATGGTAAAAAATTACCTTTCAGATCATATTACATTTTTACATATATATTACATCTTAGAGGTTCAAACTTTCTACTCCTTACACTATTTGTGGTTGGATACTTGATATAAGGAGTCTCAAGTGCGGCCTCTGATTTCGCCAGAGGGCGCACATAATATACAGTGGATGTAATTCCACAGAGAAAGCTGTCAGGGACTGCAGACATATGACAGGAAATGGTCTGTGACTGCAAACACAGGAGACGTTGGAGTCTGGGAACATACTGCCAGAGACAGTCATGGATTTGGAGACAAGTTGTGAGCCAAAAATCACTGCTCTTTGAGCCCCCATATCAATGCTCTCACAGTTGTGACACCTTAATAATTACATTTGATATTACTCTAACTAAGCTCTATTATAAAACTTTATTAGGAAAAAAAATAAATAAAAAGAGCAGACAGCACAGAAAAAATAAAATTGTGTAAAACAAAATAGCCTAACTATTTAACTGCTCAAAGCCTGTCTAAAATAATTCTTCCCCTCACTAGTAAGCATCAAAACACAGACTACCGTCTACAAGGCTCCCACAGTAAGTGCCCAAGTGGCTGCAGTCTGGTCACCAGGATCTTACACTTTCATTATTTGTTGGTCTTGAACATACACATTCTTAAATGGAAGCTGCATCATAAATTCCAGCTCTGCATGCCTTAGGATGTGCAGTTTTTTGTTGAGTGTTTTTCCACAAAGCTGCTAATGCAATTTATTTGAAATTTTGGAAGCAGAATTTTTGGGGTATCTATTGGCTATCTGATCCATCTTCTCTTCTGTCAATGAGCTTTGGCTTGTTACCTTTGTTTCACTGTGTTTGGCATATGCCAGTGTTCATGTCTGTTTTGCTTTAACCATTAAAAAGAATGTTGCCATAGTTTTTTGCTAAAAAAATTAGCATGTTACTATTTGGCTTGTTTGGGATTTTGTTAGTTTCCTTATGTGCTTTAAAAACTCACTTCAGGTTGCTGATTGCAGCTCCTGTTTTACAACCAACACAAATGTCTAACAGGAAAGTAATTTAAAATGACTCACTTGTATTCATTTTATTTCATTGTAGATTACACATTTTAAAACTAAATTTAATTTTCATGAGGTATTTTAGTTATTTAGCCCACGCTCTGTAGCAGCTCATGAACCGAGCACCAATTTACCTGGAGGCTATTGGATTTCACCCTGTGGTGAAATAGCACATGAGAAATCAACTCCTACTATGAGAAGGGAAATCCTATTATGAAAAATTTGCATTTGCGAACTTATATGAAGCCACCTCCTTCTTTAAAGTGTTGTCCTCCTATCATCTATTAAATTACTAGCATTAGGAAATGGCAATAAATAAATTAAGATCAATTTATCTTGGAGGTTCTTTTTTTTTCCTGTGGTAAAACACAAGGGATCAGCTCTCACATGTGTATGAACTCAGTAAAACAGAGAGTAACAGTCACTTACATACTCATGCCATGTTTTATTTGTTTTTAGAGGACTTACACCAGCACAAGCAGATATTAATTTCCTAGAAAATGCAAAGAAATT